TATATATATATATATATATATATATATATATATATAAGAAGAGGTAACAACAGTAGGAGGTGGTTGTGATGTAGGAAGGAGGAGGCGGAGGAGGGAGGAGAGAGGAGCTATCATTATTTATATATAAAAAAGAAGATACAGTTACCAAGTAACTGGCAGAGGTGGAGGAGAAGGGAAAGACAGAGGAAATAAGGAGGCGAAGGAGCAAGAGGAGGTGGTAATGCATACTGGTAGGTGGAGGAGGAGGTGGAAGTAGCAATGTGGTAGGGAGGAGGCAAAAGAGGAGAGAAAGAGAGAGAAGGGCAGAGCCAATATGAGATGTCACTATTTAGAAAAAAAAGGCTATGAATATCAGGTGATACAAACCATACCTGACTGAAATGGGCGAAACTGTTGGTTCTATCCTGGTTGGCTAAAGAGCAGCCCATGCCGACATATATGGACGGGTTTTGAAACTTTGGTTAGCAAAGAAAAATGAACGTCTGGGTTCTGAGATCTTGTTGGTTACAATTTAAGATAGAACTTTTTCATTTTCCCTATAAAAATTGGAGAGTACTCATTTTGGCACAATAACTATTTTCATTAAACACAATATAATCAATAACTGCTGGTACAAATTTTGAGAGGAAAGATATTTTTATAATTTTTCAACACTTTAGGTAATCTTTGGTATCTATGTGTTGGAGGGTTTCATGTCATAGTTGTCACTAACTTATTCATCTTGGACATTGTCTGCATTATAATTGTCAAAGTGCTGGCAATGACTATATGTTTAGAAATTTGGACCTTTTATAAATGTTATCAGATGTCACATTCTTTTGTTCAATTTTCTTAGCTTAATATGTCTGTGAAAAACCTTCAGGTTTGGCCAAAAGCTTCTAATTTATGTCTACTCTTGATTAACTGTGTAGCACGGATAAAAAAATTGGTTGTGTAGGCCATGGAGCCATTCTTAGTCAACTAGGATAGTCTTTGTGAAAACAGTTGTTAAAAAAAATGCTTGCTAGTGTTTCATGAACTCAGCACCAAATCTGTACAAATTCTCAAAAGTTTTCTTCCTAGGTTTTCCATGAAATGGTAAATGCTGGAATAGAACCAAATGCCAACACATATGGCGCACTTATTGATGGCTGTGCAAGGGCTGGACAAGTGGCTAAAGCTTTTGGTGCTTATGGAATTATGAGATCGAAGGTACAATCATGAACATATTCTAGTGTCTGGCTTTGCTTTAATTGATATTGTAGTTCTTAGTTTGGATGCTTATCATAGCTTTGTAATTATAGGTTTCTGTCTTATATGATTTATCCTTTTTGTATTTGGTAATATTCTGTGGACTTAAGAAGGTTTTGTATGCCAGTAGAAAGTGCAGCCTGATCGAGTTGTATTCAATGCCCTCATCACTGCCTGTGGTGAGGTAGGAGCTGTTGATCGTGCATTTGATGTCTTGGCAGAGATGAAGGCAGAACCTAAACCAATTGACCCTGATCATGTCACTGTTGGTGCTTTGATTAAGGCATGCAGTAAGTCTGGTCAGGTATAGTTTCTCATATTTCATTTTTTCACATTTTTGTTCTAGTAATTAATGTTAAATTAGTTTACTTATGTTGAATTTTGAACTACTGATCCTGTGTTAGGTTGAACGAACTCGTGAAGTTTACAAAATGCTTCAAGAGTATCACATAACAGGCACCCCAGAAGTTTACACTATTGCTGCGAAGAGTTGTAGCCAGATAGGTGATTTCCAATTTGCTCTTGAAATCTATGATGATATGAAAAGAAATGGAGTCATACCTGATGAGGTAATTTTTCATCACCAAATAAGAAGCTGTAGTCTAGTTCTTGCAGTTTCTTTTGACTGAAATTCTTTGTCTTATTTCTAATTTAAATTGCCATTATTTTGACATCTTATCTATTTGATCTTTATGAGATGCTTTTGGAGTGGCAATTATTTATGTGTCATAGACATATTGGTGCATCCCTATTTCTGGTGCTGGATGGTAGCTTCTTTAATTGGATTTTTATTCTATTGATGACCATCACATGTTAAATTGGCCAACATGAACCAAACCTTTGACAGATGACCACATCTGGTTGGCCATGACCTCATAAGGCAGGCTAGGCTTGCACCTTGTATGTAAATTTTTTGAAGTTATTGAAAGTTTTAACCTGCAAAAAAGTAATCAATTTGAATTTAACATAGTCTAACATTCACCATGTAGCTATTTTTAGAAAAAAAAATGTTAGCTGCAAACCTGCAAGAAATATTTACTGAATTATAATAGTTTATTGGGCAACATTAGGCAATGCCTACTTGCTTTTTTTAATTAAAAAGATGGATTAAGGTGCATAAGAAAGCATAGAAGAAAGATTAGGGCAAAAAAGACCAGAGATAATTATCTGCTATGTGAAACACTTTTAAGTGAAATGATTCTAGATGAATTAGCTTTCTCTTGGGGATGTCAATCCTATTTATTCATTCGATCAGAGTTCTCCGTTTCACCCGGACCAGTATGAAATGGATGGTACCAGTTTGTGCATGGTTCGGTACACTAATCACCCCTGTTTCGGATGGTCCGATCCAAGCCAATAAAAGAATAAAGAACTTAAATTTAAATTAGGGCCTGCAAACATGAGCCCTATTTTAGCAAGGGGCATGGAACATATGCCACTGTTGTTCATTACTACCCACCTTCCCAGGATGCTTCCTTCTTCTCTTCTCCTCCTCCACTGCATCTTCTTCCTTCTTCCTCTTCCTTCCTCTTCCTCCACTACCTTCTCCCTCTTCCTCCTTACTCGTCTTCCTTCCTCTCTTCTTCTCCTCCTTCGAAGCACCAATGCATACCAGTGTATTGACACACAGTACATCGATATCGATCAATGCGTACCGGTCAAACTATGGGTCTGGTACATGAAATGACATTCCTTTTATTTGATCACTAATTATGTCACTGACTATAGACATTGCCCCTTCGGGTAGGGGGGAGAGAGAGAGAGAGAGAGAGTGTTTGTGAGATTAGCATCTTGCAATAAGAATTCCATGATTCAAGGGATTTTAATTGTATGATGTCCTTAGGGGAGGTGGGGTTTGTTTTAGATTTTTAACAAATTTACCAAGGAAATCACAGATTATATAAGTTCTAAGAATAATGATATAGAAATTTAAATTCTATATACAATTTGAGACAATAATTGTTTATAAAATTTTTTTATGGTATAGGAAATTTGTATATAGCAAAAGTGACACAACGATGATCATAATCGGTTTGTATTCTAGCTTACACTAATTGGTCAAATTGGCAGTTATATCAAAAAAATTATTTCTCTAGAATTAATTTGTTTATGCTCAAACATATTAATTTGATTAAATGTAAATTTTATCATTAAATTTGTAATGTACTTAATGGAAAATATGGAAATAAAACTTTCTTGGAGGAAATGCTAAAAGAAAGGCTTATGCATATTTTTAAAAGTATATTTGACCAAGGACTACAATCTCATATCGGGTATTTACTAGTTCCTAGTCAGATCGGTATGTACCAACACCGGTATCGGTGTACTGACACAGTATATTGATCTACACTGAAAACTCGAAGAGGAAGAAGAAAGAGAGGAGGAAGTAGAAGGAAGAAGAGGAGGATGAAGCATTTCCAAGTTCATAAGAGGGCAGCGAAGTGTGTGGACAGCAGTGAGGAGAGGAGAGGTAGGTGGTGATGGATGATGACTAGAGGAGCGGAGGTTGACAAATGATAGCTAGAAGAGCGGAGAGGGTGTCATATGACGTGGAGAAGATGGGAAGTAAGCAGCAAGGGTGATAGATAATAGCTAGAAGAGTGGAGAGGGTGACGGATGATAGCTAGAAGAGTGGAGAGGACGGTATACGACAACAAGAGGATGGGTCTGCCAAGAAGAGGGCTCACAATCTCAACCCTTTTCATTTTTTTAATTAAGGCCATTTGACAGTTAAATGGGGGTGGTTTGTATACCAGTTCACACCCGAACCAATATGTAATAGTCTGGACGAAAAGGAGATCTATGATTGGGTGGATTTATGTAATTAATTTTTATATATTTGGTTTTTTGTAAGTTGTATATTTCACAATTGTTGTTAAAATGAGAAAAATGTAGGTCAAATGTGTATTCAGTTTGGTTCAAATTTCAGCTTTTATTTTGGGCAGGGAAACTTGAATAATAACAAAATGTTATTTGGTTTTCTGTCTTTAAAATTGAAATTGTCAGCTTAGGTGAAGTGAACAGCTTACTTCAATTCAATTTTCAGTTCTCTTCAACTGATTTTGTGTAATTTATATGGTATACAACAAATGCTGAATGGTTTGCGAGTCTGGTTTAATTTACTTATACAAGTTGTTGCTGCCTACCGAAAACCCTCTTGAATCGGTTATAATTTTGCATCCTGATACTTGGAAAGTTCTATGCAGATGTTTCTTAGCACCATAATTGATGTTGCTGGGCATGCTGGGAAGATAAATGCTGCCTTCAAAATCTTGCAAGAAGCAAAGAGTGATGGAATAAAAGTTGGAAATATGTCATATAGCTCTTTGATGGGGGCTTGTTGCAATGTATGATGGTGAATTCAGCATACATGTCATGTTAATTCATGCAATACTTTCATGCTAAGTGAACATTCTACTCTTTTTCTGAATAGGTGTTTATTTACAATGTTAAAATTAGGTGTAATAGATATATGCTGTAACCTTAATATAACTCACCGCTGACTCCAAGTAGTTACCACGGTATGCCGGGCTGTTATTGTTTATTTACATAAATTATCATTCTTTCTCAGGCCAAAGACTGGAAGAAAGCACTCGAGCTATATGAGGAGATTAAAGCAATAAAATTGCTTCCTACAGTTTCTTTGTTGAATGCTTTAATCACATCATTATGTATGTCTCTTAATCATGAACCTTTGTTATGGCAGTTCCTTTTCTTTCTTTTCTGTATAGTCCATGGAAAACATCAACTTTTATTTCTTGGTTGGTCTTTTATATTTAGCAAGTATCTGACTCAGATAACTGTACTGTGGCTGTCTTCATTTTGGTTTTTTAAATTTTGTATCAATTATTTTGATACACTTCTATAGAGCTGCAAACTATTCAGATTGAAACATTCAGAGATGATCATATTGTAGCTAAATAATCTACAAAATTTCTATAATAAATTGAGTTTGAATATGTGAATCGGAAAACAAAATAATGTCTCTTGTTAAAAAGTTGATTTTACTGACCATATTTTAGCCCCAACAGTGTCATGACCTGATGGTATAATTGTCTTGTTAATTTTGTCGAGTCTAAGCCATTGATCTAAAATGCTTAAGCCTAAGTTAGTACAGTCATCAGACTCTTATAAGTCAACCTAAGTTTTAGGCACTCCTGATGTGGGAGAAAACCAAGGTGTTACAAACAATTTGTTCATCAAACTCAATCTGGAAGCGAACTCCATTGAGATGTTATTTTCAGCCAAGAGTAGCCATTATTTTAGGAAGAGCTTTAATGACTTACTAGTAATTGATGGTGACTAATGTAAGGAAATACTGATATTGAAAGCTTTGTGTAGTTAGGTTTTCAGATACTATAGATAGCACAATAGTTCGCAATTGCCATTATACAAAAATGGGTTTTTAATCATATCTTGGATCGAACTGTATATGCTTGTTGGTATTTGTTATGATTGTAAAGGCACTAAGAGGGTTGGGGGGGGGGGGAGAGTGGTGAATTAGTGCTTTCGAAATAAAGTTTCAATTTGAAAAACAATTGAAAAATACATATCGGAAATGTGTTTAACTTAGAATATGAGTAAGGGTAGTGAGCAACTAAATTAGTTAGTAATAGCAATGAAAAGCATAAAGAGATACGTAAACCAGATTTATAGTGGTTCGGTCGTCTCGACCTACGTCCACTCCCGATTCCTCTTCCTCGAGGCCACCGACTTTCATTACCGATCTTCTTTTCAATGAGCGAAGATCAACTACCCTTGTTACAACTCTTTCTCCTTTTCACAGGTTTAGGAGAGAACTTTCACACCTCTCTTTTGCAAGAAGATCTCACACCTCCCTTAGAATGACTTCTAGACTCAAGGATGAAGAGACTCAACACTTTAAGAGATAAATCATAAGTTTTTGTTACTTTGTTAAGCAAGCATGAGTGGGGTATTTATAGGCCCCAAATGGTTTAAAAAATGAAGCTAAAAATTCAAATCCCCAGATTTTCAGGATACTAGCTGTACTACTACCTGACAGAGCTTGGGAACTAGGACTCTGGTGGTACCATCGCTTGGCTGGGCGATACTACCGTTGGCCTGGATGGTACCACCGCCTGCCTAGGTGGTACTATCGTCAGGAATCCCGGAAAAGTATATTTCGTACTTTCCAGTTCATAGGTGGTACCATCGCCCAGCCCAACCCCAGGTCACTGAATTGGCCTTCTGACAGGCCCAATTCAACCTTGGTTCAGGCCCAATGGGCTCCTAGTCAAGTTGGCATGGTTGCGCCCTAAAACCAACTCAATTAGACTCTAAATGACTCCGATCAAGACTTAACGACTCCAATTACAATCATGAAGCCTTCAACATGTTGTCCAGCATGTCATCTGCTCGTTTGACACTTCGTCCTAACCTCTGGTGCATCGTCATTTCCTTCGGCATATTGACCTCCCGCAGTATCCGATCTTCTTAGCGCAATACCCGATCCTTCCGGCCTAATGCCCGAACTCATGGCACGTCAACCAATCCTTCGGCTCGACGTCTAATTTCTGACATGATGCTTTCCGACCCAATGTCTGATTCTCTTGCTTCAATGGTTCGAGTCCATGATTGAAGTTTTCTTGCATTATTTATCTCGTACACTTATTAGTTCATAATCTTGATTTCATCATCAAAATCCGGGATTCAACAGAATTGTTATCTGTTCTACTATCACTGTGAGCAATCTAGATATTTATTTAAATAATGACTGATTTTATTTTGCTTTTGAGAGTAGAAAATGTGGTAACCTAGATTTTTACTTAATTAATGGCGGTGTTAATCTTGTTCTTGTGATTAAACAATGAGGTAACTCGATATGTTTCATAAGTCAGTTGTCATTTTCTTGAATGAAATAATAGTATGTGATCCTGCTTTGATTTGCTGTCGCACATAGGTTTCAAATCTTCTATTTGTCAAACACTCAACCTTGCTCTTTTAGCTCTCTTCTAATGCCTCTTGCCAGGGCAATCTGTTATGAACCAGGTGGCTATACTTTAACTGGCTTTGGTTAGCGGCTATATTGTCCCTGAACTGAGATGGATAATCTAATCTTGATCCAATTAAAATTAGTTTGGTTGAAGTCTGATTGAATTTGAGTTTATTGGATGGCCTCTTTCATCAAAAATCTCCAAGGTGGGGTTAGTCTCTTTCTACCTTGCTAACTTGAAAGCTTGAACTGTTAACAGTTTTCTATGCTTGGGTTGTTTGTGGGGGCAAGATATGGCAACTGCAAGTGACTGTTGAATTAAAGGTAGGAAGATTGTCGTCCCATGAATAGGCCATTCTAGCCTGTATATTGTATCTTGATAAAATTTCATTTTGGACACTCTGTTATTACTTGATTGTGTTTCAAATCATGCTACGGAAAACAATCTTGACTCATGAATTCCATAAGGACGGTCCAATTCATGAGGCTACTACCAATGTGGTCTTTGAGGGTCAATGTAATAACAAATGCAGTGAATTTCCTAACCTAATAGTGAATTACCCTTCTTGTTTTATTCAGTTATAGAAACTTACATAATTCCTGAGTTTAGTAAACCTACCAGATAATGAACAAAATGGCTCTGAGTTTCTTTCTTCTTTTTTTTTTCCTGATACCTTAGTTAATGCCGCATTGGAAAATGGTGTTGGATTGGATTTGGTGTATGATTAGATTAGTGTACTAGTAAGTTGGCTTGAAGTACATTGTGAGGCATGGTTTAGGGCCTCTCAAATGGAAGTTACTTGGCTAAAAGGTCTAATCTAACAATAAATATGATATGGCCTACTACTACGAATTGCAGTGGTCTTGTAAGAAAGGTCTTAGTAGGCCTAGTACCTACCTCTAGTATGATGTAGGTGCCTGGTAGCAAGCCGAATGGTGCCATGTGCCTCATGTGCTGCCTACCAATGAATGATTCTGGATATTTGTTTGGTCTTGATGAAAACATGAAGCTTTTGAGTTTTGAGTGCAGGATATTATGATGCCTTAGTTATTCCTGAATCAAAAGTGGATGTTTGGTTGATTGATATGTAAAGTTTGAAGTGCTGATTACTTCCATTTGAGTCATTAAAAGAATATGTGGTGCGATTTTCCCAACACAGAAAAGAGAAGGATGGTGTGTCAAATTGTTATGTAAAACTTGCTGGGCTTATTTCTAGTAAGCTGGGTTATGCACACGGGCTCAAGTGAGATGGATGGTTGATAGTGGCTGCAGGATATCAAATCTGTCCTTTCTATCAGGGCCACCTTTAATTTGAAGAAGATGAGTACTTAAAACCAGGGTTTGCCGTACCGAGCCATACCGCCCGGTACGGGCGGTACGTACCGGTCCGACAGGTTTTCGGTACGCGGACCGACGGTTACCGGTCCGAGGTACTGTAGCAGTTACTGCAGCACTGTAGCAGTGCTACAGTACTCGGTACACTCAGGTGTACCGCTCGGTACACCGTACCGTACCGGTACCGAGCCCAGGTCGAAATACCGGTATGGTACGGTATTGCGAACCTTGCTTAAAACTAAGAAGAAGGAAGTAACTAGATCAAACTTTTAATTCTATTAGAACAGTGAAAGTAATAACAGTTCAATTTTTATGTCCAAGGGGCCTTCTTTAATTTGAAAAAGATAAATAATTCTTGGACCCATGGAGCTTATATGCTTATATATAACTAATCAAGAAGCCTTGTGGGAAAAGGTTATTTATTATGAACTGAAGTCAATCTGCAATATCCTATCTAAAGATACCTCTAGTACTTTCAAGAGAATCAAGACACAATATTAGTTGTTTAAAGGCTTGTCCAACCCTATTTTTATTAAGAAGCATAGGGCATTAACGAGGTTTTAATTAAAAACTAAGCACCACAAAATAATATGATAAAATAATAACAAATAAAATGTTTATCACAAGCTGTTGTCCTTTCTCTTGTTGGGTTTAGGAATCCTCCTTGGCCTTGGAAATCCCTTTATAGATATTTTAAAATGTCCTTTCTGTCTTAGTTTAATCATCAAACAATCAATATTTGTCTTGAGCTTTCTCTGGAAAAGCCTGTCAATACTATCCTAGTATTATCTTATCGCTAACAAAGGCCAATGATGGCTTGTTGATGGCCAAGACACCCTGACTGAGCCCTCTTAGAGGTGGTTTGGATTCTGATCACTCCGTAATGCATTATTACCATCATAATTGGTTATAATGGAGACTCAAATTGAACCCTCGTGAGGATGGTTTTGGCTTGGGTCACCCTCTAAGTCATTATCACCCTCGTAACAGGTTATAATGGTTTTGGGTGCTGTCCAGTGTCCCTGTTAATGGACCTTTAGAACTTTGGTTTTGTACTTGTATCTCAATGTTAATTGGTACAATCATACTTTATCTATTTTAAATAATGAACCTCTAAAAGAGGACAATGAATACTTACCTTTTCTTTTCAATGATAAATCTGCAATAATGAAGAGTCTATTTATTCATTTGGGCCTATGTATATTGATTTGTACCTGTCATTTGTGAATTTAAGGGTCATAATTTATGTTTTGTTTATAATTTAATATATTGTAATGGTTAAGGATGTGATTATATATATTGGTTTGAAATTTTCGTTCATATATCTATGACTATAAGTATAATTTTCTATGTCAATCATGAAAGCATCATAGAACTTTCTGGATCTGTTGATTTGTTGTCTCATTCCTCCAACTCTCTGAATTCTTACTAAATGAAATGAAATTTCTTAAAATTGTCCATGGCTTATAACTACATATGTGTGCAGGCGAGGCTGACCAAGTACTGAAGTCTGTTGAAGTTCTTGATGAAATGAAAAAAAAAGGTGTACAACCAAATGAAATTACATATTCTGTCCTCATAGTAGCATGTGAAAGGTGATGGTCATGAACTTAGTTCTATTTACATTACTGGTCATTTTCTGAAGAGAAACTTTTGGTTTCAAAGAAATGGCGAAGCTGAATTGGCCTTTACACTCTTTGGAGAAGCAAAAAGGGATCGCGTCCTTCCCAATATCATTATGTGCCGCTGTTTGACTGGTGATTTTGTGAACTACCTATTTTGTTAATTTTTCGCAAGAACAAAAAATACACTTTTCTGTTTTGTTAAGCTATTGTAGGAGATTGTCTTGGCTTGGAATTATCTGGCTTTGGTTTGTTATACTTGGAAGCTTAAATAAGTGTAACTACACATTTTCTAGGATCTTTATTGATGTCAGTTTCGTCAATCCATATTAAGATTTCTCTCTTAACTTAATTGCTCTTTTTGTAGGTTTGTGCTTATACAGTTTTAAGAAGGCTTATTCACTTGGTGAGCCTATTGTTTCTTTCAACACAGGGCGGCCACAAGTTGATAGTAAATGGTATGTTGGTATTAACAGATTTATCTTTTCTAATCTTGAAAATATCACATATGGACATTGAAGATTAGTTTACAATCCTTTAGTTGAGGGGAGGAGAGGTTTATTTGACTATTTGAATGTATTTTAATTTTATTTTATAAGAGACTTTCTCAAATTTCTGTAAAAAGTTCATTTTTAGACCTTTTATTTTTTTGTAATCATTGGATCTAGTTTTCCTAGGCCTGCTGCTAGGAATGTGACATTATTTGTTGGGATCGTTTGTTTTATAATATTCATTAGGAATATGAGAGAGGACATCATCAAAGGAGTAAGCTTTTGCCATTTAGCGCTAGGTGTAGCACTTTGGTGATCTTTAATGACCTAGCATATTCTCCCGAGCAACCAAAATGGAATGAATGATAGCTTGTCAACTTAAGGATGTGCGACAAGTACAAGAGAAGAAACTATTAATAGAAGATGTCTTACACAGCATAGTCTACATTTAGATACATATCTCAAAATTTTATACATGATAATTATCTTAATTATGAAGTAAGTGATCGTGAAAGGTTTCAGCATGTTATGTTTTTAGATGTTGATATGTTACCAGGACTTCACTAGCAATAATGGTCTATCGTGAAACCATTCAAGCTGGTGTCATACCTACAATTGAAGTTTTTTCGCAAGTGCTGGGATGCCTGCAGTTTCCACGTGATTCTTCATTAAGAAAAACATTTATTGAGAACCTGGGAATAGGTTTTGATTCCTCAAGATCTTCAAATGTGAGTTCACTGCTAGATGGTTTTGGTGAATATGATATCCGTTCTTTTTCCATACTAGAGGTAAGAACAACAGCAGCAGCAGCAAACTATTTGGTTTACATGCTTAGTTTCATTGATGTATTCATCACGAAGGAACTAACCTAAATCTTAGTACTCAGGAAGCTACTTCACTAGGAGTAATTCCACGTGCAACGATGAAAGATAATCCAGTTGTTGATGCAAGGAAATTGCAGATTCATACCGCTGAGGTTTGATTGCCTGAAAACCTCAGAATTCTGTTAACTTTTATTGTTTAGTCTGTTATTGTCATTTTCAAGTTCTTGTCACTTGGATAAGAAAAACAATATTTTGTTAAAATTGTCATTTGGATTGACTTCTATAAACAATCCCATATCCAGATGTAATAAGATTGCACAAAGCCTCATGTATCAGTTTCCATTTTTAAGTAACTAACATTTCTGGAGTAATGAGGCCTGCTTTAATTGCATGGGAATTGAAGGAAGGAAAGCATTAAGTGGGTAAAACTAGAGAAAATAGGTTTAAGAATATCGAGACTTGACTTGTTTGATCCGTGAATGTGGCTTAGAATTTAGAGAGAAAAATGAATTTTATTTTTATTTCCTGATCAACTAGCACTTTTTATTTCTAAATTGTTTTTTGGATTTTGAACAACTTTGGCTGTATGCATCATGAAGTGCATAAGTTGCTTGAGAACAATTTACAATAAAACAGTTGCTGAGGTAACATAAAATTTTGCATTGTTTACTTGAATTTTAATGGTGGGGATCTGAGTGATGATTTCACTGTGAATATTCATCTGAAATTACTTGTAAAATAGATAATAATCTAGAACACCATTTAAATTATTTCACAATTCATCAAATAAGGTCAGAGAAGATAGAGAATATCTGATTGTGATGAGGACATGCTCAATGCTGCATGAGAATGAGAACATGCTTTTTTCTTCATGCAGCATATTTAATACATATGATCTCAAGGGAAAACTACTTAGAGCAACAAACTTCGACTTTATCTTGTTGAAAATACAATGATTTCAGAGAGTGAGAATTGAAAGTGAGGATGAAAAGAATAGAAAGAATGAAGTGATTGATTTGTCATATTACATAGGTTTCTCATGGGCCTCTAATCATAGAGCACTTTGGATGCCTTTAGCATATGTTTCGGTGGTGGTATGACTGATGTCTCAATCCTTGGCCAAATAAAGGAAAACTGAGTAGAAAATGGTTCCGGATGCTGCTAATAATGAAAGTGGCGGATATACAAATTACAAAGAAGTGATCGATCAGCCATATTCCGTAGGTTTCTCATGGCTTCTGATTATCAAGCACTTTGGAAGCCTCTAGCATATGCACCAGTGGTGGTATGACTGGTGGGCATGTCCTAGGTTGTCACATCAGCTGCCTGGTCATTGATGTCCAGTTAGTAGCCTAACAGCTAATAGGCTGTTGTCTGGAATGAAAGCAACAACAGAATTTTCAAAGGATTGAATCATGATATTGTTCTATAATCAGAAGGGTCAGTTTGTCAGCTTCATGGGAATGCTTCTGACTTCTGCAGAGAGGTATGAAGTTCGTTTGTGTTTTTTTCTCCTTTTTATTTTATAATTTCTATCCTCTTCTTTGTTCTTTCTTTTCATATGTACTTATTTCATGCTTTTAATAAGTAACCTCAAGGCCTTGCAGAAAAAAAACAACAGAGGAGAAACTCTGTTGTGTTTGTGTTGCTTGTGCTTATTATGTGCCATTGTAGAATAACCTATATGACTAGGGTTTAACACCCAGAAATTTTTTAGTTTCAATATCTGATAATTTGTAATTTTAAGCATTACACGAGAAACATGCATGTCTATTATCAGGTACTGTTGTTCTAGTTTTCATAGCTGTTCTTGCATATAGTTCTTTAATTGAGTTAAATTTTGTGGTAAAGAGATACTGATAACGATCAATTTCTAATATGAGAGTTATGTACCACTTTATAATAGCTGATTAGTCTTTACAAATGTTTCAGGTGTATCTCTTAACAATTTTGAAAGGTCTCAAGTATCGGCTTGCTGCTGGTGATCTTGCTTCTTTGTTGATGCTTGATTTCTTACATTATTATTTTTAGTCATTATTTCTTACATAGTTAAGCATAGAATGAGTTTCAAATTCCATTTCCAAAATAAGTTGAGATGATACTGCCAATACACATATGTGATCAAGTTTAGATATATCACTCATGGATGTGTGATGGAGAGGAGAGTATAATGCTATTCATATTGTGCTAGCAATAATAGTACAAAGACTTGCGCATAAGAAATAAGTCAATTTAGCATCTCACTGATCTTAGCTTGCCTCCCCGCTGATTAAAACTTCTTGGTTATTTTTGCAGGTTCAAGGCTACCAAATATCACAATTTTGTTACCTACGGAAAGGACACAAATAGAGTTTTCCAAAGGAGACAGAACAATTAGCCTTGCTGGAAGGTGAAAGATGTTTGATTGTAATTTATGACATTGATTATTTTATTAGGCAGCATTTGAAAGTTTTTATTGATATTCTCATCCGTTCAATCTCCATTCTTTATGATTATTAGGCTATGAAAAACCAAGGAATGCAATCTTGTACCAACCCTTGTATGTCCAGTCAGTGATTTCAATAGGCGCTCGGGCGAGGCGAGACGAGGCCCTAGTGCCTCGCTTCATTTCCAGGCGGCGCGCTTCAAAAAGGTGCCGCTTGGGCACCCGCCTAAGCCCAAGCGTCGAGCGCTTCAGGCGAGCGCCTGGGTTAAACCAAGTGACTGAACCAGCGTTTTAGGTCTGGTTCGGTCTCCGGTGCTTTAGTTGGTTCAATTGAACCAACTAAAGCACTGATATCAGCGCGACTTCCCCAACCCTAACCCTGCTCGCCGTTCACGCTGCCGCTCCCACTGCTCGTTGCCGCTATTGTCGCTCGTCGCTCCCGCTGCTCGCTGTTGCCACTGTCGTTGCTCTCGCTGTCGCTGCCGCTGCCACTGCCACTGTCGTCGCTCTCGCTGTTGCTGCCACTGTCGCCGCTCCCGCTGTCGTTGCTCGCTGCTACTGTTACCACTGTCTCCGCTCGCCACTCCCGCTGTCGCTGCTGTTGCTTGCTGCTACCGCTGCCGTTGCCATTGTCGTCACTCCCGCTCCCGCTCCCGCTTTTCTCAATCAGCACCCTCGGTCTTCCCTTCCACTCTTCTCTTCTCTTTCGATAGTATATTGTTAACAGTATACAGTATACTGTTAACTGTATACTAGTAACAGTATTTGTATTTATTAGATTAATAATATATTATTTTGATTTTAATACTGTTAATTTTCATTTATTTGAAATTATTGTTTTGAATTTTGAGACTTATTGTTAATGTGACATTGTGATTTTGTACCTTATATTTTCTTAATTTAATAGCATATTTTTATTTAAAATTTTAAATAATTATATTTATTAATTATATTTTATATTTTTATATTTTAGCGCCTCACTTCACTCGGGTGAGTCGGGCGTTTTTGGACCTTAGTGCCTTTTGACGCCTAGCACTTTTCAAATCACTGCGTTCATTGCTATGTACTCCAAGTACAATGTACAGACACTCGATACAGTTTTATGAAAAAAAAAGCTGAAAGATCAATCGAAAATTGAAAAAATAAAGAGGAGGCAGTGGCGGCAAAGGAGGAGGAGAGGCTGTGACACAAGAGAGGAGGGAAGGAGGTGGTGGAGGAGGAGAGGCTGTAGCATAGAAGGAGAGGAGGCAACAGAGGCAGAGGAGGAGAGGCGGTGGGGCAGTGGCACAAGAGAGGAGGGAAGTATGCAGTGGAGGAAAGGATGGTAGAAGGCAGTGACGGAGAAGGTGCAAGAGGGCAGAAGACTGAAGGAGGATGAGGAGAAGGAGAAGAATATTGACGAGGGCTGGTGTGAGCGAACGGTGAGGGGTGCCAGTGAGGGATGCGGGCGACGACAGATGCAGATGTGGGGGAGAACACACAAGAGGATAAGTTAGGGTTTTAATTTTTCATTTTAAATATTTGTTTAAAAAATGGGCTGCCCAATCCAAGGTCATTACCGAGCCTAAGTCGGTAAGCAGAGTTCAGAAGCCTTACTGCTTGGTTCATAGGGCTTACTGAGTGGTGAGGCTTGTTTTACACTTGAATCAAAATTGGGTTGGTTTGTGTGTTGGTCGATGGTTGGACCAACAGTTGGATCGGTAAATACGGGCTGTACGACACCAAACCGGATGAAATTGCATTCCTTGTTATATATACTATAGGTAAAATAAAGCAAGTAGGAGATATGCTGCTCTAGAAATATGAGTTATTAAGAGTCCTGCTTGAATGCTAATGTCACACTTATTAAGAAACAAACTGTCGCATATTAAAACATCTAGGAATATGCACATGATAATGCTAGTGGCACATTTGCATACACTTGAATACTTAAAAATAGTTTGTGCATATTGCAACTTATTTCTGCATTTTTCATTAAGATGATAGCTTTGGGATTATGTTAGTGGCATACTTGCACTTTTCAGTTCTTCTTATATAGAGGTTTGCTGCTTTTCGCATTAAGACAATAGCTATCAGCATTGTGTCAATGCTGCATTTGATTATGCAGTATACTTCATCTTGATTGTGGTAACTGAGGTGTTATATGCAATACAGGGTTGGTCAGGCAGTTGGTTCGCTGTTGAGGAGACTGGGCCTTCCTTATCAAGGAGAAGAATCATATGGGAAAATTAGAATAAATGGTCTTGCTTTGAGAAGGTGGTTTAAACCAAGGGTTACCAGCACATCTTTTTCAGGAAGACCTGCAGAAATGATTCCAACAACTGCACGTTTGGCCAAAGGGATCGCCGATCAGCAGCGCAGCATTCGGATCAGCAAAAATTTCTCTCTTGAATAACATGCTGCATCACTTCAGCTGATGATTTTATTCATGTTTGGATCAAGAAGAATAATTGGACGAAGATTCAGTCGCCAATATGATTGTTGATATGGTAGTTCTGCTTCAAACCTCTTTTTATCATCTAGAACAGGATACAAAATGTTTCCATTTGCGTACATGTCCAACATTGAAGGTGAAGGTAGCATGTTTTGAATGATGAATCAGCATTATGGTATGAATGGTATTATCATCTCGATAAATTTCCAGGATTATTGGTATTTAGCATCCAGCTTGAGCATATTAGTTCAATAGTAGATGTCCTTACGCTGTTCATGGCATCAAATCATAGTCGTGGATTACTGTATCATGGTCGAGTTGTTGAGGTTTAACAGTTAGCTGGTTGGTGTTCATCGCTGTTTCCTAGTTAAATTGCACTAATTTTTTTGTCGTGCATAACTTGTATGGTTCTCATGCTACAACTTGTGTTTTGATGGGGTTCTTTTTAGGTTTCAAATGGCTAAAATGGTTTGATTTCTTATTCTTGTACAAAGTCAGTAGTAGAAAATGGATTTGTTCTCCGTGTATACATAACAGTTAAAAAAATATTTTGCAGGGTATGGCATGCATTAATTACATATATAAATTGAGTTTACTTTTTTCCTTTTTGCTGTATATATACATAATCTGCTATTCTATTTAATCTGTTTCCGCGAGTTTAGTTACACTTTCCTTCTGGTTTTTGTTTATACATGATAATTGCGAGAGAGAGAGAGAGAGAGAGAGAGAGAGAGAGAGAGAGAGAGAGCTTAGATTGTATTTGGAGAAGTTCCCATTTACAGTATACAGTAGCCTTGTTAAGAAGGAATACTGTTCCTATAAGACTCAAAATATTCTCAATAGTGTTTGGTGTTACTGTGATAAATGTATCATTGCCTAGTTCATCCGAATTCGAAAAATATTTATTATATCAGCAATACGAAAAATAAAATATATCTCCAAATCATGGAATGGGACGGTGATGATGTGGCATACTTGTGGTGCATATAATGCAGACACTTAGTTAGACACATTATGCATCGAATCTGACCTCGATTTCACATGACGGATGAGGAGGTGGCATAGGACCGTTTCGGTTGATCCATCACCCTTTAATATTCGTTAATAAGGCACTTATTATAAATTTAATGCTCCACGTCATTGGGTTTCTAAGTATGTTTAACGTCATCACACGGATGCCACATCACCATAGGGGCACGCTTTAATGTGTGCGGCCCATATAAAAGAGGCCCGCCCTTTACCGGAACTCGATAAACAAACAAACGCAAACGGGGAGGCCAACACAAGTCCAAACGCCTCGGGTGGAAGCGGCAAAAGGAGCGAGCGACGGGCGTCCTCCTTCCCCCCGGCTTTTCTCCTTCGCGGCTTTCGCTTCCTCTCTCTCTCTCTCTCTCTCTTCCGCACCTAGGGTTTCGGTTCGCCCTTTGCTCTCCCGGCGGCGCCCCCGGTTCGTAGATTTCTGAGATCTTCTTTCGTCCGAGCAGGTTTTTTGCTTGCTTATCTTGTCTGTTTCTGTTGTTAAGGTCGCGGAGTGATGATGAGTACTATAATCGCCATTATGTCGCTCTCTCGATCGATCTCTTGCTCATTGTGTCGGAATTTGATGGGCGGTTTCGATTTTTGTTCTCTCGTTTGCTTCGTTGTTAGATTGGTTCGGCTGACCGTACATTATTGGCATCCGAAGAATGAGAGATATACGATCTTGAAGGTTTAGGAGCATAGGGAAAGGCACTACCGCAGCCTCATGCAACTGAAGATTGTGGGGCATCATATCGACTTTTCTGAAACGATTATGAGTCTCAGACGTAGAACCAGGGTTGTATTTGATACCTCTTTCTTGAGGTATGGTTATCTGAACTAGAAAATTACAGTCATCAAACACTAGAGGTCTAAGAAAAGGGTTTTTTTTTTTGGTTCTTGTTGATAAAAAATTACAGGACGGTAGAAGACAAGACATATATTTCAAATATTTCTTGGCTGGCTAATATGATTCAACAATAATTACGGAGAATGCTAACTTGCATCTTATAACCTGGAATAGTGAAGCATCAACTTTTGTTGATGATCTCTACCTCTCGTCCCTTTCTTTCTTTTTGTTTAGAGCAAACTATATGTAATTGAACTATCACTGGGTTGATTGGTTTTGCCACAAAGAAGCTTAGTTCTGCTTAGTTTCCTTTTCATGTCATGTACTTTGTTATTGATTCTTAGTATGTCAGTGCTTAAATACATCAACCATTGCATTTAAAATAGCAAAAAAAATAGATCACCCTTTTTTGTACATGGCATCGAAAACAAAAAAATAGGAGCAAACTTCTTATTTCATGGGTAGTGCATCTTCGAAGTTGCACAAATGGGGTCATTATAACCCTATGCACAAATTTATATCCTGAATTGGAAATTCAAATAGATGACTAATTAGGAAGTCGACCATAACTTCACCAGTTATTCAGGCCTATTTCTTTAGATTAAGCATAACCAATGTTAAAAGTACAAAATCTACAAAAGGTAAAGAATCAGGTCTTATTTGAAAAGTGGATCCTTAAATAAGAAAATTAAAATTTGGCATAAGCTCATGGGTTGGGTCATTGCCCTTTCTTTTGCAAATCTTGAAACTAATGCATCATAGGAGCATGGCAGATGACTAGATCATTGAGTTGACTATAAGAAATGGTCATACATATTGGCACCTGTGGGTTTCTGTTGTATGTATATCATGTGAGCATGTCTTACTCTTTAGATTTGTTTTGTCATATATCATGGTAGTCTAGGTAAGCAAAATCGAGACATTATGATTCTACTTATATGCACTTATTCCTATGCTCTCCACCAATTGTTTCAGTATGGAAATATTCCCCTCATCTGCATGATATCCTTTTATTGGTGTTGGAAGACAATGATCTTTTCACCTTAAGTAGTCTGCCCAGGTAAGATTTCTTAGAGTAGCTTAAATAAACCTATGGTAGTTCTGGTTAGAAAGTCTTGGGCAGCTCAAATTAAATTACGAGATGGTTTTTCTTTATTCCTTGTTTCCAGTTTCCGATGTTATTATCATCTCTGTATCTTTCATCTTTTAAATTATTAGGTCTTATCGCCACCTGGCTTGCTCAAAGCTGTAACCCTTGGTTTCTCAACCAATGGATCGGTGGACCGGATGTTTTAAGGTCTCCCTCAATCCGACCAAAGCTGGCTCCTGTTTAAAGGTTGCTGCTTCACTCATGTTCTCACCATCCTCCAGAACCCTTTTGGTAATATCTCTATCCATAGATCTTCCAGTCTCCAGATCCTGAGACCCCTGATTTTGCCCTTTGTTTTTTACTTTTGCCATTGGGAACAGATGCCTTCTGTGAATGCCATCTTATTTAACGGTGATAAGGTCCAAGGAACTGGGAATTCTGTGATTGAGAGGTTATCAGATTCAAGGAATATATCTGAATTGCTTGTGTCGAAACTGGGGTGTTCAGCCAATGTTTGGGTAGTGGAGGCATCTACATTTAATGGACCTTTTGCCGTATACAAGGAGTTCATACCATCATTGACTTCTCGAGGTGATCCAAAACGGTATGACCCTAATGGATTTCCAGCTTCGTCTGCAATTGTTGCAATCTTATCCAGGTGTTTTGAACAGGTAAGAATTAGTTTCAATTTTGTTTTTAGAATATTCTTCCAAAGATGGCTTGATTTGCTTTTAAATTTTCATGTCATTGTCACATATTTGATGCAATTGTACCTTATTTTTATAGAGTCTAGAATAATAAATTCATTATGGTGGAAGCAAGTAATCTTTTAGCTCTCCCAATAAGGTAAAGCTAGGCTGACAGATGCCATTCTTTTGGTGTGAGGTCACTTCAGTAACAGGAAAACAAGGTGTAGTTGGCATCACTTTTAGATGTTATTATGGCAGTTCTCGTTGGCATTCGAGGAGCATTGACAAGGATTTTGCCCCTCAAGGCATCCTGCAACTGTGGTGTATAATATACTTTATAAGGCTTGTTGTAGGCATATGCCTCAGAAGTTTTAGTTGTAGGAGTCCTATCTTTCAGTTGTTTTATTCTTTATAATTTGTAGATTGCTTTCTGATAGAATCATTATACCAATGCCAAGAAAACAGGGAAAGGGGTGGTCATTGTTACTCGTCAAAGCTAAGTCCTTGTCTTCTTTTTTATTTGTTTTGTGTTGTTTGAATCAATCTTCCCCTTATTTATCTGCCCACAAATACTTTTTCTGTTTTCTCTTCTCTTCTTTTTTCTATTTCTGTTGAGCTGCTACCATCCTCCTTTTTTATCTTGATCTGTCACTGGTGCTGCTGCCATTCTCCACTTCTTATATTGATCTGTTTCTGGTGCTGCTGCCTTGCAATGTTGCTGTATCACCTCTTCCTCTCTGATGTTTGCTGCTTGTATTACCTTTTGCTCTAATCACGACATTGTCCGATGGATCCTTAACTACGTCATCCAGCAATTGAAGTTGTAGGTCAGAGATAGGCTAGTCCAGAGAGGTATTCTGCAACAGTTGAGCTGTGTTTTGCCTGTGGCACTATTTTTTACTCTTTCAGTGACAGGACAACTGGTTTGTTATATGTTTGCCAAGATAAACAACAGCGCAACGGTCTAGAGAAGGTGAGGTGGTTTTATGATTACTGTAAAGGTAAAACATTGATTAATAATTTTATAAAAGCCTTAAAAGCAGCTGTTGTTACATCACTTATGGGCTGAAAGAAGTGTCAGAATTTACAGAAACAGATGGAGTCCAAGGAGGAGATGACTTTGAGGATTAAGGAGGCTGTTAGTGCTAAATTTTATCATCAGAGGCTGAGGATAGTGTTCAGAAAGTGAATTATTAAAATAATGGAATATGCCCTTGTATGGAGAGAATACTTCTTTAGTGTACGTGAAGGGAGTGTTTCTATTTGAGCTCAATGTACATATATGTAAAGTATGAGATTGTACATTTGATGGTAAATAAAATTGTTTGCTTTGGTAAAAAATCAATTTTAGTTGATTTTTTTGGTGATCTAACCTTTAGCAAAATTGATTGATTAATCATAGTGAACTTGTATTTCTGTATATGAAAGTTTTTGCATGTCTAAAATGAATCATTATGGAGTAGGTATTGCATCAAGTGTCAATACATCAGGGAATAGGCTAAAAGTGTCTCTTTATGTTCCCTGCAAATATTTCTTATTTAACTTTCATTCAGAAGCTTCAGATAATGCTTAACATAGTTTCCAGAATACTTATTGTACGCATTCAGGGATTTTCATCTCAATGATCTCCATTTATGTTGTTTATGCTGTACTTTTAGCTTGTTGTCTGACTTCTCTTTATTCTTTTTTCTGATCTTTTAAGATCTAGTCTTGCCCCTTTTTATGCCAGTATATTTGTTGTTGGTTAGACTAGAATACAAAACTGCTATGATTTAGTTGGCTTGAGTTTTTTATGAGGTCAAGAAATATTTCTGTCTGCACTCCTGGTATAAGGGGAAATAACTTGTGCTTGTTTATTAAAGTGTTTTGGATAGTATCTGAAACATATGATATATTACTGCTTGCATATGAATTATAGTTTATGTTTGGCATTTTGTGCCTAACTGTTATCCTATTTTAGGCTCGGACTCCAGGGATCTGGATATCATACTGATATGCCCGTGTTTTTCTTTTTTGTTCTATTTAGTTTAAATCAAGAGGTGTGAAACTGTCTTAAATTGATAATATTAAAATTTCTTAACAATCCAAAATCCAGGATCCTGACTAACAATTGAGAATACTAAATACATTCAAACATCTAACAATCCATAAAACCTGTGCAGTTTATAATCATACACCACATCACTCGATGAATCATAAGATCTAAAGCTAACTCACCAAAACAATAACCACATCATAAATCCACAAGTGTTCATACCATACCATCCCAGTAGGATGGCCCTTTACCAATATATGCTCTCAGACTGGTCATTCCATACCATCCCTAGGGCCTATAGCTATCTGAATGAGGGTGTGCCCTTTTGTAACATTGCAATTTTGGCGTGAAACCACTTTAACTCTCTGCCATTTGCTGCCTGCATAAGCATCGACACTAGAGCTGAGGAAGTCATCGGAGATCGCTTTTACTAGAAAATATAGCATGATGATAGGTTTTGTATTTTCTCCCTGTTTCTGCTTAGAAATGCAGTCTGGGTGTGTTCAATCAGGCTAAAGGTAAATCCTGACCTAACCCACACCTAAATTTATTAACCTTAATCAACTAAAGCTGATCTTGGGTAGGATTGTTTCTTTTTTGACCCTAATCTAATTTAACCTAAGTACTTGAGAAAAAAGTTTGAATTGTGTACTGTTGGGTTCAGGACATGTTGAGTTAGCTCGAATTCAGATTGGTCTTGCATTGGGCTTTTTGATAAAAACGAACCCAATCCAAGTTGGGGTTTGGTTGAGGTTTTCCAAGAATTCCAATCACGTTTAGTGATCGGTTTAGGTCGACAAGGTTTGTGTTGAACCCAGTCCAAATTTCATCCCCTATTTCTGTGCAGATGCTTTAGGTACATTCATGCTAGCATCAGTGAATTAAGTCAAAATTTGTTAATTTGATGGATAATATCTGGTTAGACCTATCTCCTATATGCAAAATATTCAGAGATCTAGTTTTTAATCAGAGATTGGTTGACTCATTTTGTTGCACTTTCGTGGAAAATCCAACCAATATATTAAGTGGTTTAAGAACACAGATGTTAAGCCTTTGGCATGCTGTAAGTTTTAAGTGTTTCCACCCTTGGTTTCTTATTTTTTTAATTTAAGCTGGAAGCTTGCTAGCCCATTTTTTACTATTCACAAGCCATTGCTTTTGGCAACCCATTAATAAGTAATAAAATATTATTATACTATTTACAATCCTAATATTACCGATTTTATTCCTTTTTTCTTCCCCACAACCTCTTATGTCATTTTCGCCGTCGACGTTGCTTCTTGTCAACGCCATGAGTAGTTTAGAACTTTTAAAAAAATTTAAAATGGGGTTGTAAATAGTAAAGAAGGGGCTGCAAATAGTAATCTCCTTTAAGCTGTGATGTTGAAAATAATCAAGTGATAAATCTTCTACATAGCTTGGGGTCTTTAGCATTTACTAGTTAGAAATATACAAAATTAATAATGACCAACTTGTTTTCTTGGAGAGGCAGAACAATTGCAATCATTAAAGATTTATTGTGTGTATTTAGTACAATGCATTGAGAAATTACTCTTAAATGAGTATGAAAATAGTCATAAACTGTAACTTCATCAGAAGTCTTCACGCATCCTTTTTTCTCAAAATATCAAACCTCTGTTAGTTATTTAAACTGAAAATGAAGAGCTTCAATAGTCTTTCTCCCTTTTTCTTCAATACCTATATTAGCTTGCCCAAAGTACCAAGTAGAAAAATAGTGGTCAAGAAAATTACTGAATCCCTAGATTTGGATTGAATTATGCAATAAATTGCTGGAAGGTGCTTTTAAGAAGAAGCCTTTGAAGTAGGGGAGTTCGAATTGTTGGTGCTGGCTTGAAAAGATCCTGGAACTGGAATGTCCACCTATGAAAATTGACTATTCTCGTCTGACACTTTTACTTATCTATTTCATTTACATTCTCCACGAAGGTGCTGCAAGAAGGTATAGTATTAAGAAATTATTGTCTTTCTTATATTAAGAGATTTAGCTTTTTCTGAATTAATTTTTTCAGTCTGTATTTGTAAAGTATTCAATTCTGAAACTCATTGATGTTGAAGTCCATATATGAAAATAACACAGTTAAAAATTAGTACCGTTTTCTTTTGTCCTACCGATTTGGTATGAATTTCCATCTGCTTACAGTAAAAGAAAAGGAAAAAAAATTGTTAACAATTCAGATGGTGGCAACATGCATATTTTTGTCCTTTGTTTTCTCTTGTTGATTAGCAGGTGCCAAGCTTGACATCAAGCAACCTGGTGGAACAAACAAAAGGAAATGTAGATGCACCTACGTTGTTGCCAACCCCTTTCCCTAAAACAATAATTCTGGGTTTCAGCAAAGGTGGGACTGTGGTCAACCAGCTTGTGACTGAATTTGCTCACTTGAAGGCTTCACCCCAGATATTTGATAGGAGGCAAGATCACCTCTATCCCATATCCGAGGATGATCTGTTGTTCAGCATCTCTGAGTTCCATTATGTTGATGTCGGATTGAATAGTGCTGGAGCATATTTGACTGATCGGACTGTTATTAAGAAGGTTGCTGAGCTTTTATTGGTTCACAATGCTAGTGTTCGTTTTGTTCTTCATGGTACTCCAAGGCAGTGGTTTGATCGTCACAGGCCATGGATTCGTAAGGAGAAAGATATTATGCTGCAATTGCTTAAAGATGAAGCTCATAGATGTGAAGGAAAACTTCAGGCAACCGAAAGATTCTATTTTGCCAATAATCTGCCCAGTTTGCAAATGCATTTTGAGATAATTCAAGTGATGGATTTAAGTTAACGTTCTGCAGTTTTGCTTGCGACCTAGCATAAGGTCATCCTTTTTTACATTTCTTTTATCGAATAGATCTCCCAACTAAAATTCAGATTTTTTTTTTTTAAATTGTTTGCAGTTTATACAATTTTTTTTCTAATGTTAATAGGCACATTAGTTTATGTGAATTATTGCTTTTCCTAACTCATTTGCTATTCTGGCCAAATAATTCAAAGTTCTGTTGTATGTACCATACCATGAATATCACATCTAATCTTTTAAAATTTGAAAGTTATTGCTAGCTTTAGTAGTGGGCCTTCAATTTCATCTCACTATAATATTAAGTACGAACTTGTCGGGGTCATGCAGGGTTTTGAGGATTCTGTTTGTCTGCAGTAGAGAATCATTTAGAGCTCCTTGTCTGAGCCTTAAAACATAATACATTTATGTCCGGAGTGTATGTTTGACTGCAACACCTTTTATCATAACTCTGTATGTATAGCTTATTGCCACTTGATCAATGAATGTAGCAGGCATATTTTGAACATGACATGATAACGAATTATGTCTGGTTAGATTAGATTAGATTAGATTAGATTCTTGGATTAAAAGTCTGGTTGTTTCAATTCGGGTGGTATGCTTCCTTGATGCATTATATTATCTCACTGGTTTTACTATGCTTCTATCCGTTTATAAGTGGTACTAGGTAGCACTTCTCAGAATAGTTGTCTCCACTCTCCAGTTGAGGGACTATAGTATGTAGAAAGTTGCTTGCTCTTGACACAGCTTTATTACAGACACCAGTGTCTCTCAACTTGGCTATCCTTTAAGATGGCAACTAATAGCAAGTACATGTTTCAGTTTCGTTTGAGTGGTAGCAATTTATGGACTTCTCCATGTTCCCTATTTGGAAATGTGATCCATTCAGTTGTGTCCCCATGTCATGACTAAAGTTACTTTTTCTAAAGTGTTTTTGAAGCCATGTAGGAAGGAGCTTTGGATTGACATTCTAAAAGGAACATTTCTCTGCTTGCTTTTGCACCTTCCTGCATCACATCTACATACTGTACTGATCAATATTGACATGCTTTGATGGAAGTGGTGCTTCCAGGAACAGTTGTGTATCGTTGGTTATCTGAAACAGTGCTGCGACGCACTATGGATGTGTACGACTGGAAAAAGATAAAAGAGGGTTGCATCAGGAGATAAGGTTCGTCTTCCCCAATTATATGCTCTTGGTGGTTCCCGTTATGGTACCACTCTTGCCCTTATGCTTCTATTCTGAAAAGAAATCTCCGAGGGTCAAAAAGTAAAAAAAATCCACATCTTTTTCTCCAAGTGGCAAAATTAATTTGGTGGTAATATATCTGATTCACTTCTCCTATGTTGATAGTTTAAATCCTTATTGTATTAGTTGACGAGGACTTCGTTTATAGAATGATACAAGCTTCCTAAAGTCTTTGAGATAGTTTTCTATTTCTGGCAAAATTTGCAAGCACATGTGACAGTTTTTTTAATGAGTTATTTGCATTACATAAATGGTAACTCAGCTAGGCCTGACAAAGTGTTCTGAACTGGCGGTTCCGGTTCCCCAAAATTGGGAATTGGAACCAGAACCGATGGTTTTGATTTTGATTTTGGTTCAGGTGGTTTCAGTTCAAATCATTAATTTTTTATTATTTTAATTAAAATTTTTAAAATATAAAACAAAAAAGTTGGGTAAATTTTTGGAAAAAACTTTAAATTTGAGAATTTTTTGTAGAGCGCCTCAGCTTTAAAATTTTCTTACAAAGTATCTTTGGTTGTGTGAAAAGATTATTTTACCGCTAGCAAGTTTGAAAAAAAAAAAATTTGTCGGACTCATCGTCGCATGTAGTTGTCGTTTTGTTGCTCGTAACTCTCGCGCAAGGGCTTATCGTCGATGTTTGTAGCCCTCGTGCGAGGGCTGTTATCGTCGCTCGTAACCTTAAACTTGGTCTCCCCCTTTCGCCCCATGGTTGGCTCTTACTCAAAGGCTCGCTATTGCCTCTTGCAACTTTAAACTCGATTACTCCTGCACAACTCATGTAGAGCCATCTCTCCTTCGCCCCCACGATTGGTCCTCGTTGGACTGCCATTGTCGTCGTGCATACAAAGGTGATGCAAAGTGGAGACAGATCTAAACGGAGCTAAGGATAAAATGATTATTTATGAAAAAAGAAAAAAAAATTCTCAGATTTAATTTTTTTTTTAAGAATTCATCTAACAAAATTTATAAATTTATTTTTAAATAATAAAAAATTTTAAAATTAAAGATTTGGAATCGATGTTTTTGATTTTTTTAAACCTATGCACCGGAATCGAGTCATCCAGGATCAATTCCGATTTAATTTAGAACCAGCCAACTATCGGGTTGAGCGGTCTGATTCTGATTCAATTTATACATGCCTTTCAAACTAATCCTTGTCCGCCCACTCAATGGAAGGCTATGTTTTCATGTCACAGCCTGTACTGATGTAGACAGATAAAGCACTACAAAAGAGTGACAAGAGGCCTCCGCACCTGTGTGCCGCTTTCATGTCAGTGCTCCCAACAGACGTTGTGTCCATGTTGATGTTAGGACGCAAAAGGAAAGAAGGCCGAACGATGCACAAAACCCTTTTGAATTCTATACATGACGACGACACGTGATTGACGTTTGTTCATCCTCTTCTTTAGTCCAACTTGCCACATGGATCTATGCATGTGAGGGGTGTGAAGGTGGATGAGAGACGCCTTTCCTACAGGTCCATCAGGGTCTCCTGCCGCTGTCATGCATCAAACGTCCTACTGCCAGTGAGAACTCTTCTTCTTCTTCGAACACTTGGAAGAAGAGCAACGAAAGAGACCGATCGAGTTGACCCCCGAGGAGTCCTTTTGGGAGTTACTTCCCTCGCTCTTCCTCCGTTGTTCCCTGTGCAATTGGTTTGTTCCTACGTACCTCGTTTCCACCACATGGATATGATTTGATTACCACATAATTGAACATCGTCTACCTATTCATCGTCTATTTCCAACTCGGATCGTTCTCCAATAAAAGAACACCGTCATCGACATCATCAATGTCTTATTTCTATGTGGTGGCATGATAGGACACGTTGCTCGTCCCTGTAAACTTGGACCATCTATCCAAAGGAAGCGTCATCCCTGACGCGTCAGATGTCCTCGCTAAGTTGAAGAGCAATTATTTGTAGCTGTCTGGAACAGTCTCCATCTTTCCTTCGATTATTAACGGCGAATAATGTTTTGTCGTTGCCGCTGCTGCTAATGTTACAATCAATATTAGTGAAAGATCGAGATTGGATATGGAAGATGAAAAGCTGCATCGGATGTGCCCTTCTTCACCTTAGTTTATTTTTCTGTCTCATGATTTGAGTGTCCGATGGGATATCTTCTTGGACACATCTCTCTCGATCTTTTGGTGATGCGTTGCTTTTCTTTTTTTTGAAAGGTACGAAGCACATGCTTCGTTTCCAAGTCGATGGGGACGGTCAAAATCGACTTTATAGTGATTAAAGTCGGTCGATGCTTGATGTGCTCAGAGATAGCAATCATATTGCTGGCTGGTTTTAGCTAATTGATCTCATAAATATTTACAGAAAACACGGATTATATATATATATATATATATATATATATAATTATAATTAAACTGATGATAATAAAAATAGGTTTACCGACAGGAGAAGGAGGCCACGAGTCCTGTTTCTCCACGTCAGCATCTACGATGATTCGACCCCATCAAAAGTTTGGCGGCGTCAACAAAGTCAACCACGATAAAGTCACGATGGGACCCACCACTCTACCGCTCTGCTAATTAGAAGGTATCTGCCACGTGGACGTCGGCAACGTTTACACGGCCGGGCTGCCGTCAACGTCCGATGTTCGATTTGGGTGACTGCCCCAACCGCTCCCGCTCCCAGCTCAGCTGTGGCGCAACCCCGTCGTGCATCGGCTGGTAATCCTGCATGAATTTGAATGTGTTTCAGATACTCTTTATCGACCGCACCGATCGTCTTCGGCCACCACTCGATCGCACGGTACCTCGAGCTCCGACAGCAACTCGTGGGAAGTCTGTGCGGAGATGATGATATGACGAGCGGCAGGCGCGATGAATCCCTCGTCCACAGCCTTGTCGATGAAGGAGAGCAGGGAGTCGTAGTAGCCATCGACGTTCAGCAACCCCACCTGCCAAACCCACCAGAGGATGGCGATTATACGACGGTGATAACATCTCCTGAAAGCGAGGCACGGGGGGTCGGTCTCACCGGCTTGTCGTGGATCCCCAGCTGAGCCCAAGTTATCACTTCGAGGAGTTCTTCCAGGGTTCCGTAGCCACCTGAGTAGATAACAACGAGATTAAGCTGCCAATGTGATGTTACGGCGGTCAAACAGTGTGCTTCTCGGCACGGATGTTTGTTTACCAGGCAATGCTATGAAGGCATCGGCTTGGCTGGCCATCTCCGCCTTCCTCTGGTGCATTCCCGACACGGCCCTCACCTCTCCCACCGTATCTCCCGTAATCTGCAGGCCATGCTCGCATCAACTTCGTGTTCTTCTTCGAAAGAAAGATTAGAAATTTCAGGTAGCAAGACGTACGTACCTCTCGAGGCATCAGAGTCCTGGGAATAACTCTGCAACGTATCCAAAGAAGATAACATAAGCATCGGCAAGCATATTATATGCGTATTATACACGGAGAGAGACGGACCCCAAGACATGGCGGCCGCCATCGTGCACGGCTTGGGAGACGAGACCCATGAGGCCAACGCTTCCTCCACCGTACACCAAGTCTATGTTCCTTCGAACCTGCAAGACAGAGCAACCCCTCGCATCAGTCTGACCAATTCCACCGGAAAGATAAGCCACGCCCAGCGCAGATGGAGCTGCGAGAGACTCATATATCTTGCTACGCTCCATTCTCAGGGGAAAAAAACACAGGAGGATTGGGACGACAGACGGAGACCGACCAATTCATGGCCGAGTTGGATCGCTGCGAGCTGGTAACTGGGTTTCCTCCCGGGGCTGCTGCCGCAGAAGACGCACACCCTTCTGAACCGAGAGGCTGTGGATCTCTTGCTCATCAAAGCCTGTGCCTCAGCTTCCATCGAGCTCGAGTTTAGAACAGAGAACCCTCTCTCCTTCTCTCTATACGTGGGTAGAACTTAAGCTCTCGGCTCCCTAGCTCGAGGGAAGACAGTAAGCATAGGGCGTCCGTGCGGTTGCTTCCCCCTTCTTTGCCCCTTGCCCCTTTTATAATGAGTTGATGTCAGGGAACAGTGGAGAGAGACCTGTTATGCCCATGTTGTAATCTAGTTTGTGTCTCTGATGAACATTGATTAGATGATGATAAGTTTCTGAGAAAGCTCCGGTGGGACATCCACCACCTAATCATTTTCGATGCTTTGGCCAGCGGAGTGGAGAACGGACATGGCCCGTCGAGTAGCTGGAAGTTTAGTTCTTACCGGACGACACTCGACAACTTGGTGCCCTGCGACCTCCTCCTTCCTCTTCTCATTATTTCCTGGTGTCTCCCGATGCAGCGGCAGGAACAATTTGGAAGACGAAGAGAACAGAGATCACAGACAAAGAATGATGCGGTCGATGCACGTGAAAGACCATTGTTATTTTGTGCCATGAAGAATTGATTTTTCCATCCACATGCATGCAACACTCGCGAGCTTAAGCTTTCGGTGGAGGACGCAAAGAAAGGCTTCTTTTTCCGTCTTTTTTGACATCATGTGTAGATTGCAGTGAGCGATCCAAAGACGAAAAGGGGGGCCTAAAGAGAGTATATGGCCACATGTCCTCCTTTTCTTTCTTCCACCTTCCCTCCACTCAGCAATGGTGTGCCCTAACGGAGGAGAGGAGTGACCCACAGATCGGATGGCAGCTGAGTTGGGTTGTAGGGGAACAGCCGGGCACATCACTAGTTGTTCCTTGGAAGCACTTCTCCTGGCTCATCTTGCTTGCTACCTTCCAAGTGGCATATGTTCTTGTAGAAATTTAGATTTGAGGTGGATAAATTTGCCTTAATTTTACTCTTCTCTTTCAAGCATTATATAATATGCCATATTTCTATATTTAATTAGACATCGATTCAATCTAAAAATTTAAATTCGATCAAACTCAATACACATAACTCGATGTCAACTCAACCTAAAAGGTTAAATAACTATTCGTAATACTTAGTTCATCTCTTTCCGTCTTTCACATGTAAATATATCCTTATCGATGGATATAATATATATATAAATTACTTGTATCGCTTTAAAAATATATATATACAATTTACCTTATAATATTAAGCCAAGTGAGATGTTTATAGTTTGTTCTTGGAATGACAGGTCTGATCATGTCATGATGTTGGTAGGTCTTCCTGCACGGATGGGCTGATCATGTCAAGGTGGTGGCTGTTGAAGAAGAACACCCACCAACATTGCGAAAGGCCAAGTGCAGTGCGACCACTTCTTTGCCTGCGCTTGGACTCTATTGGACCATCTTGTTTCTTTAATCCGTGTCTGGTCTTTCACATGCTACAGACGTCGACATCTCGAGCCTTGCTTTTCATCGATGGCTGCTGGGTTGGACCCAAAGAAGGAAGATTCATGTGGGTATGATGTGCCTACTCGCACTCAACAAGACATCGAGGTAAGAGGGAGTCGGAGGCATCCGTCAATGGCGTGACGTTGTTGGTGGACTCGTTGGGCTTTCGGCAAAACCTCTCTTGAGTTAGAATCAAACGTGACATGATAAGTCTAATCGAATGGTTTTCACAACCAAATTATTTTTCGAATCATTTCTTATTCGAGCGGTTAGAATATTGGAGTTGTATACATACCAAAAAAAAAAATATTTATCGGATACGATTACGACATTCTCTCATTAATATTTCACTTTAGAATTATTTTTTTTATTTTTTTTAAAAATTATTTGATATATTTATTAATTTGATCGTCGTCGTCGTCATCGAAGAGGTATGCTCTTAGCATAAGTTTTTGTATCATCGATGCCTCTCAAAACTATGTTGAGATTCGTTGTCGTATCGTAGTTTTCACATCAAAATCCTCAATTCATGATTTACATGATTTTACATTATAAACTTGAGATTTTTATTGCGATAATTTGATATATGGTTGTGTATCTCGTTTTCTTTGAATAGATTCGATTTAGATCTTTATTTCTTAGTTCTTTTTGATCCGTAAGTATAGCGCAAGATACTAACATCAATATTAAAGACTCCGACCTATAAGAGCAACATCGACACAACTGCTCGAGTTCATGAAGAATAAATATATAACGAGAAGGAAAACCTCTCGATTGCATGTCAAGAGACTACCCAAAGTGAAAAGTGAGTGCAGCAAATACTTTGAGCCAATCGTAAAGTTTGAGTCGGCTTATGTTTCTCCTCAGAGGTCCACTTTTGGCACACAAGGAGAAGTCAAGCATGCGATGCCTGATGATTAACCCGTGCCATGGAAACATGTTGAGCTCCAAAATAATGACGCATGCCACTATACATCTCTCCAGTAGCCATTACTGGCTCCGTAAGGGTACTGTCAGCTCACGTGACGAGGTAAGTGGCCATCGGCAAAAGGCACTGTATCTCACGTGCTGCTCTTAGGCTAATCTCCATCTCTGCTTTGGGATACAGAGTCTTTGTGTAGCCACTCGTCGTAAACCAGTGATCTTTTAAGTTTATTATTAATTATTAATTTAATATTGAATTTGATACCGGGATTAGAACTCGATCGACACCTCATATTCATATAGAAACGCATGGTTGGTGTATAGTTGGCATCTAGACATAAGTTGAATTGATTTGATATTACTATATCATGGATTCGATAATGTACTATCACAATTAAATTCGAAAGAAGTAAAAGTTAATGTTAGATTTTTTGTAAGCTTTATAATTAGATAAGATATATAATATAACTAATTAAAATTTGATAACATATATTGGTCAATAGAAAAGAAGTCAACTTAAAGTATAATTCATTATAAGATAATCTTGATGAGAGAAACTCTCCTAATTATTTATCCTATACCCTCTGCTCTCGCGTATAAATAGATAGAACCTTTAAGAACTATCTCAATTAAGGGATTATAATCTCTCCCTAATCTAAGTGGTCCCATGAAAAGATATGAAGAGAGGAGAATGATTTAGTTCTTTTGCATATTCATAGTGATCTTGGATCTAAAGATGGTGCCCTTGCACATCAAAACAAATATCTTTTTTTTCAGATGATATCAAAAGGTACACATCGTAAAATTATATATAATTATACTTGATTTCAATCCTAGCATAAAAGATTATTTTTCACATTTAATATAGCATATTACAGATTTTATGTTTATAATTGGTATCAAAGTAGGTTCTTGAGATCAAATATATTAGATATATTATTTTTATTTATGATGCATGAATGATCCCTATTCTCCAATGATCGTTAAGCAGCAATGGTTACCGTCGACCTTGCTATGTACAACTAGCGAATCTACTGGTGATAGAGGCTACACTGGGCAACGTGCGCGTCACAGCGCAGCAGGCAACACACGTACACGGGCATCACATCACTCATGCAGTGGTCGTGCACTGGCAGTAGTCGCGTAGGCAGCAGCCACACGCACGGGCAGTCGCACCTAGGTGATGGTCGTGCGCTGGCAGCAGCCGCGCCCAACCATGCGCAGGCGACGACAGCCACACGCGTGGGCAGCCGCGCCCAGGCGAAGGCCACCGCGAGCAGGAATCGCCTCAGTGGCTGCGCGCAGGCAAAGGCAGCTCCACGGTGGCAACGGTAGCGCCGCACGCGGGCAGGAACCGCTGCAGCGGCCACGCGCGGGTAGAGACAGCCCCGCGGTGGTGGCGGCCGCGCGTAGGCGACGGCAGCACAACAATTGGCATATTTATGATTTTGCCCTTGAGGCTAGGGCTTTGCCAAATTATAATTCTGCCCTTTACAAATCTCATAATGCTAGTTTATATCCTGTCAAATATTTATAGTTTTACCCTTATGAAATTAACAATTCTAATTTATATTCTCAATTATAAAATTGATAAATATAATTTATTATAATTATGATTGAATTTAATCATGATTATATTTTGATTATTTGATTCGATTTAATTTTAATAAAAAATATAAATTACGGTTCACTTTTATATTTTTTCATATAAATTATTGATTATATTTTTACATGTGGTAAAGAAAATCCAATTATTATTCTTGGATATTCATTTGGTTAATCACATGTATATATTTGAAATTATGAAATAATACGTATCTTTCACATGAAGAGATAATTTATATATTATCATGATTATGATATGAGTTTTTTTTATTAATGTTCAATAATTATTATGGTTATTATTATATTATTGAACTGCTTAATATAAATTAAATTGAAGAAATTTACTGAATATTATTTGTAACTCATCTCCTTAAGTTTTATCTAACTTGTAGTTGCCAAAGTGACCTGAGATTTTAAATTATATTTGATATTATTATATTGGTCTTGTAGCCATCAAAGTGACCTAGACAAATAACTTATAAAATAATATTAAGAAATTAGTCCTAAATAACATTAAGAAAATAATATTCACAATGACACACATAATTATGAGATTTAGATAATCTCAAAGGTGAATCTACTTCAAATAATTATGTGATGGGGTAAGATGATATTGTTTTAGATATCCTTGCAATTTAGGGTTGTATACCCAAAGGTAATAATACTATTCCACATGGATGGTATCAGTCTTCCATAGATTATCTTGAGTGAACACTAGATATGTCAATATTTCACCCAAAGTTGTAATATAGATGATATCAATAGTTCATCAATTTTTTTGAAAAACTCAAAGCATTTATGTTATTTTATATTTTTATAGTGATACTTCCGTCCATACATTCTTATGCTTCTAGTGTCCCCGTACTCTTTGGATCAAATTATTCAGAATGGTTATAGCATGTACAATTTATACTAGGTATATTAGATCTTGATTTAGCATTTCTTGTTAAAAAGCCTATAGACTTGACTAATGAAAGTCCTGTAGAACAAGTTAATGAAATGAAAGCTTAGGAAAGATTTGATAGGTTTAGTTTAATATTCATAAGAATAACGATGGTAAATAACATAAAGACTTCATTACCAATTGCAACTAGCACATAAAAATATTAAGGTTTTTGAAGATAGATTTAAATCTGCTGATAATATTGAATCTCAGATTTTGATGGTGAAACCAATTGATAGTGTTTATAATTTGATCTGCATTTTGAGTGACCCAGGATGCTTTGATCAGGGAGAGACAATT